TGGCTTACTCTTTCATCTCCTTTAATCTTTACACAAACGTCACCTTTTCAGTGATGCCTTCTAATTATCTTATCTAAGACTGCAGCTCTCTTCTATCTACACAAGGCAGGAATTTCTGTCTTGTTCATCACTGTATCCATTTTAGACAAAATGCCTGGAATAGTACCTGGCACTAATGAAGTCTATAATGGGTATTTATAGAATGAACACATGAATCACAAGTCCATTTAATTCTTTTATTTATACTTGCACTGAAAAAGTAATTTTACTTAAGACAAATGGCAGACGTTTGTAAAAAGAGGTGAACATTTGTGACTTTCTAATGAATATAAAACCAAGTTACAGAGTTGTCTATACTTCTTTAATATGAACTACATGTTTTAATAGAAAATAATCCTTAGAATAACAGATTTCTAGGACAAATGAAACAGAGGTAGACAAAAGCAAAGAGAAATAAGCCACTCAATCCAGCTCGCCTGGCATTTTACAAGAACACTGGAATTCACACAATCATAAGAATCACCAGTGGAAATGTTTCTAGACTCAAAAAGAAAAGATATAGAGAGCTGGTCCCATGCAGTCTACCTCTAAAAAACATTTGAATAGGATGTTAAAGCTTTGTACAAAGAAAAAAATCAATATAGGGAAGCATCTTTTCCCAGAATTCACATATTGGCTGGACTGACAGTGTGAGACTTCTACAAAGGAAATCTCATGAAGTACTTAAGATCGTATTTCTCATTTTAGACAAAACTGTCCATATACTATGTAAACTATGCATTTTCTATAAATCCAGCAAGGGAAAAATGTCAATTGGCTTGTCCAAAGGTTCTCAGCTACTGCAAGTGTATTCAGTGAACCACTACTCCTATCCTCCCACACACTCCTTTCCCCATGCTCCATTATAGATGCAAGGTAAATAGAGCAGAAACTATTGGTGGAAGAGGTTCTCCCAAGCTTTTCTAATGAAAAGGTCCTGAAAGTTACTACATCAGGCAGTAACACTCCTACTGCTTTACAACAGCAAAAGAGAAGATAACAGAGGGGAAAGGAAGGTGCCTATTTCAGGAATCAGGAAAGAAGTGAGCACAGCAAATGCTCTTGGAGTGGTAGATTTTTGCACCTAAAAGAGAATAACTTGCTGCACACTTTTCTCTGATGTTGGTTTTGTACATACTGGGCTCTCTGCACTTCAGGCAAGGGCTAATAGTACCTTTCAAGCCATGATGGAAGCAATAATAATAAATGATGATGATGACAACTAACTGGGTACAGAGTTTTACACACACCAATTGCTCCTGATCTTCACAAGAACTCCAGAATGTGGGTGGTAATTCCATTTTATAGATGGGCAAGCCGAGACTTAAGACAAGTTAGATTTTCTAAAGGTCATCAGTCAGTGAGAAGCAGTTATATTTTAAACCCAGATCTTCTAACTCCATGCCCCATACAAAATGTCACAGGCATTAGTGAAACACCAGAGTCACAACTCATTTCTCTAACAGTGAGATTGTGAGGGTGAACCACCCAGGGTAAGGGACAAAGTCATTGATGAGTAGACAAGAAAGGGCTCACATATACCCAGCCTTGCCCCAGAGCACAAAGTAGGCAACTGCAGTTCAGGATCTGTCAATCAATGAGCATATCCCAAGCCTGGCTGTAAATAAGGGAGCATTAGTAGCATGCTTTGGGCACCTTCAGGGTGGGACAATGGGATTGGTACTTTGAATTAGGTTTAAAATGGTCAGGCATTTGAACACTGAATTCAGGGCTTTGCTTACCCAGAGTCCTGGGCTTAGTTCCTGAGTAGTCCCTGCCTAGCCAGTCAAGTTCAGCAATGTTAGGCCACCGACTTCTTTCCTCAGGGGTGAATGTTAAAAAGCTGCCCTGGCTGGTGTGGCTCAGTGGATTGAGCACTCGCTGTGAACTAAATGGTTGCTGGTTCAATTCCCAGTCAAGGCACATGACTGGGTTGCAAGACAGATCTCCAACAGGGGGTGCGCAAGAGGCGACCACACATTGATGTTTCTCTCCCTTTCTTCCTCCCTCCCTTCCCCTCTGTCTAAAAATAAATAAATAAAATAAGGGGGGGGGAGCCCTCTCAGGACTTTGCTAATAAAACCCTAATAAGAACAACAGGAAAAAACCCCAAATACCTGCCTCATCCATCTGAGTTGATAAATATTCTGAGAGAGAGAGAGAGAGAGAGAGAGAGAGAGAGAGAGAGAGAGACCGAGACCCTTACTGGCCCATAGCAGTACATAAATTTCAGAAAAAACAAATACTGCTCTGTGGAAAAAGCAAAATGCCAAGTCTGCAGGCCTACATTTGGCAATCACATTTTAGAATTAACGTAGAGGTCAGCTATTGGAAACTTAAAATACACTCATAGATTCTAAAACCCATTAACGGCACTTAGTTTTCCAGTCTAGCTCTGAAATCCTGTTTACCCCATTATGTACAAATGCATGGTAGCATTTTAGCTATCCTAATCACATTTCAATGGGGAAGGCCAAGTCAAAATTACAAACCACAACAATAATGAAAGATTCCCCTCTTCAGCTCATGTGGTCCATTCTGGCCCCAGGAAAGCAAAAGAACAAGGTAGGTGCTACTGTGCCTCAGAGGCTTACTAAACCCCTAATCCTCCTGGTTGGTTCATCCTCTAGTTGACTTGGGAAACAATAGCACTTGCCTGCAGGGCTGAAGGGCAAATGGCTTTGCAAGTTTAGCTCTGTCTCCTCCAGCACCTGGTGGTGTGGCTTGAAGAAAAGCTCAATAATGTTCAAGTTAAAATAAAAGCCTTCCTTATTTTTCAATCTACCCTTGTCTAAAATTCTAAATCAAACTAAAAGTACTTATGTTATTACAGGATGATAGCTGTAACAGTCTGGATCTAATATTGTTCAACAGAAGGCAAAGAGTCCTTAATTGCTCTTGCCACATTTCTGCAAAGCAGTGACCAGACACACTGCTGGCTGAACAACTTGGTTTTTCATATAGAACAAATAAAAAGATCAAGCTGTACATTTGTACAAGCACAAATACTTTATGCATGCAAAGACAATAGCCTGGAATGACACACACCAACCAGTCAATGGTGGTCATTTCTGGGAAAACGGATGGAATGGGAGAGTAAAGCAACAGTTTTGCTTGAATTTCTTTTGAGAGGTACATTTTGAAAAAATATGCTTTACGTGTGTAATTTAAAAACTATGTAATTTAGCCCTGGCTGGTGTGGCTCAGTGGACTGAGAGCTGGCCTGCGAACCAACAGGTTGCTGGTTTGATTCCTGGTCATGGCACATGCTTGGGTTGCAGGCCAGGTCCCTAATAGGGGGCATGTGAGAGGCAACCACACATTGACGTTTCTCTTCCTCTTTCTCCCTCCCTTCCCGTCTCTCTAAAAGTAAATAAGTAAAATCTTCTAAAAAATAAAAAATATGTAATTTAAACTATGACAAGCCATTTTAGAAACACTTCAAAATAATTTCCCTGAATATAAAACATGATCATAGAAATCAGAAGTTATAAATATATTTAGATAGATTCAAAACAGAACCACTGAAGGAAGTTTTACATTTATACTAGCAGGTAGAGCAACCTATAGCCCATGGGCCAAATCCAGTTCAATGGACAGGCAAAGGTAAAACTGGTTTTAACATTTTTATTTATTTATTTTTAGAGAGAGGGGATAGGAGGGAGAAAGATAGGGAAAGGAACATCAACATGCTAGAGATATATCAATCAGTTGCCTCTTGCACACCCCCAACTGGGGACCCAGCCTGCAACCCAGGTATGTGCCCTGACTGGGAATCGAACCAGCAACCTTTCAGTTCGCAGGCCAGCACTCAATCTACTGAGCCACACCAGCCATGGCTGGTTTTAACATTTTTAAAAGGTTATATATATTTAAAAGAGAAGAAGGAGGAGAAGGAGAAGAAACAGAAATCACACATGGCCCAAGAAGCCTAAAATTTACTATTTGCCCTCTACAAAAAATGTCTGATGACTGCTGAACTATACCAAGAATACCATGCCTTTTCAAAAATAGTTTTAAATTCCTCTTGGAAATGTCATCAAAATCACTTTTAAACACAATAAAAATCAGCTGTATTATTTAATAGCTTACCTCCCTCCCACCCCGCCCCCCAAACCCATTGCAACATAAGATAGCTTAACAGCTTATTCAGCCAACTCAATCTTCAGATTTGCCTTAGAAGACTGGTGATTTCCCAAAATCAAATTCATTCCCAGGATGGGGAAAAGGACACTCTCCCTGCTACCATCCAGGAACCTAACCTATGATGTGTGGTTACAATGTAAAATAGAAAACTCAAGCTCTGAAGAACTCTCTGTGTAGGTAAGAATAATTTTAAAAATCTAGCATGATACTAATATAACAGATCATAGTTTAATAAATCATATCCTAATGAAGTAAGGAAAAAAGGTCATCTTTATTCTGAATGAAATTTGTATTCTAGCCTGACATTCTAATCTAGAGCCCTGAAAGAGGGAGCATATTTCATTATTACTATCGAAGACCCTAAGACGTGTACTGAATAAGAATCAAATATATCTAATTGTGAACAGCTGTGAATTTTGAACTGGAAAAATAATTTAAAGGTGTGGAATTTTCTACATTAAACCAATGGTTCTATATAATAACAATTCACAAATAAAGCTCATAATCATATTTAGAAGTCTCAGTCTCCCCCTTGTACTTTTAACAGTATGTTTCTAGAAACTGAGTTATAATTTGAAAATTTAAAGAACATAAAATATAGGTTGATTTTGTTTGTTTAATAATCTTTTAACCTTCTTAACTTGAAAGCAATTCAGAACCTGGCATATATAATTTTTTTTTATAAGGAGAGAGTGTCAATAGAAAGAGGATGAAGGCCATTATTACAGTGATTTGGGAAAAAACCAAGACAACATTTCTCACATACCTCTGGAATACATTTTTCCTACCCAATTATGACACAGAAAATACGTTACCTCAATGTCCTGGAGACTGAATTCCTTCTGATCTGTAAAGTTCGCGGCCCCAGCACTAAGTTCCATCAGCATCTTGGCAATCTCAGGCTTTATGGCTGATGTCAGCCGACTGGCTGCTTCCATGACATGCTCCTGCACATCTTTGAGCTGCATGGCTGCCTTGGAGTAGTGAGAGTTCCTGAACACAGTGCTGAAGAGATCTGTGAGGAAAGTACTGGCACGGCAGAAGACATTGAGGGCGTCCAGGTACTTGGAGATGCCCTGCTGGATGTCAGCGATGGGAGTGGAGTGAGGCATGGCATGGTGGCAGCTGCCTGCAGCGGTCAGGCTGCCCAGGGGGGCAGTGGTGGTCGTAGATGCCAGGGGAGCACTAAGTGCTCGGCCCAGCTCGGGCATCGGGTACTGCTGGTGCTGCTGCACCTTCTGCTTGGACCCGCCAAGCAGGAAGCGCCGCTTGTAGTCCATTTTACTGTCCTGGGCACTGCAGCAATACATGCGGGAGAGGGAATTGTCCCAGTGATTGTGAGTGGGTCAGGGTTCTGAGTCTTCTTTTCCCCAAAATTATAGCTAGGTATAAAAATAGTGGAGTTCTGAAAATCTAAGTTTTAAAAAAGGCATTTCCATGAGGCAGGTGACCATGTGATCCAATACAGATATGAGAAGACAACAGGTTTATATAATTAATGTTTTCAGTGTAGGCAGGGCCTCTGACAAAAAATAAAAGTGTGTCCAAAATGCTGTATAAGAACTGTTAGCATTCCACTCTCTTAATAAAAAGATATGCTTGCTGAGAAAAATGCTTACCTATAATTGCTTTGCAATAATATTGATACTTGTATTTACAATGGCAGAAAAATAACTTAACTTTAAAAAATGTAATATAATGTATTTTCAATATACCAGAAAAGTTAGAACCCCAAACCCACAAGCTGATCAACAGCAATTTAAAAAGTAGTACAGAATTACTTCACACTAAGTCCTTAAAGGAAGATCAAACCTCTGTAGAATTTTGACAGAGCCTGCCTGCCAAATCCATTTACCTGAAAAGCTTCTTTTGAATGCAAATCTTTACCAAATTTCCTTTAATATTTTCTGAAAACAAGTTTTGTTTTTTAAAAAAATGGCATTTGTTATTATAAGTCTTTTCCTTTCCTTTTGTTTGCTGAGGTAGCAGTTTCCTTGTAACATTAACAAGAGGTACTTGCAGACTGGGTTGGCCCTCAACTGTAAAGTCTGAAGCAAGAATGCACAGATGTAACTGTAAGGCCTCTAAGTCATTTCCTGTAAGGGGGAAAAATAAGATAAAGTTAGGAAAGTTACAGGACAATGAGTAATTCTGGAATGTTAATTCCTGAAATGCTACTATCCACAAAGGTGGGCTACAAATACATAAGAATCATATTATAACCTTACAACTGTAGGTACCACAGTGAGATTTGAACTATGACATGATGATTGCTAGAAAATTCCTTGAGTTGTAATACAAAAATAATGCAAAAAAAAAAGTTTGATTCCACACCAACTCCAAAGCCAAGGCTAATAACTGACACATCGAGCAGGGCCTGTATTCATGTTGACAGGTAAAGCACCCACAAAACTTTAAGGGGATTTGGAAAAAGAAGTGATAAGATTGAAAGAAATCAGGATGATTGTAATGAAGAAAATGTTACTTTGATGTCAGCCTCAATTGTAGGACAGGTTTTGACAAATTGTAAAAGGGATGGGTAGGGCTCATCAGGTTAATGGACCACCACAGCAAAGGTCCTAAAGCAGGATAGCACACGGTCTATTCAAGATCCCCAGCTGAACCAAAGTGCAGCATACTGAAAGGCACAGACTGGAGAGGTGAGTGGCTGGAAGGAGGTTTGCAGACAGGATTCTTACCATTCTCACTCAGGTACCAATTTCCCCTATGGGTGTTCAAAGGGAAGCCTGGCAGACTGTGCTGGCCTTACACTACGGGATAGCTTCTGTAGAACCTCTGGCTCTGGATAGGTTCAAATAACAATGTCTGGACATTTCTGGTTGTAGTTACTGATATGTACAAAAGTGGAGCAGTGCAGTTCTCACATAGCTAATCACGGTTCATACTTGTCTGAATTCTCTGTTCTCCCAAACATAACAGAAGTTCAAATATATTTTACTAAGCTATATTTAGTCTATATTAAACTTCAACTTGTGTGAGGTCTGTATATAGTTTGGTCTACTTATTCATAACTGGGGTTTTCTATTTTCCTTATTTTGGAGATAAAAATAAATACAAGTCACACTTTGTCACTCATCATGGCCACTATACCATGACTCCTTTATGGTCCTGTGATTGCAAAAGGCACCTAGGAAGATAAGTATATAACAAGAGCAAGAGATGAGAAAAGTGCTATGGATACAAACACATACTCTAAAAGTATAGAAACCCTAACCCAGGGGCATGTAAATTAAACTGAACTGGCCACCAATTGTAGCTCTGTGTTCAAGAGAAACTTCACTCCTAGCTCTGGCTGGTGTGGCTTAGTGGATTAAGTGCTGGACTGTGAAGCAAAGGGTCACTGGTTCGATTCCCAGTCAGGGCATATGCCTGGGTTGCAGGCCAGGTCTCCATTAGGTGGCGTGCAAGAGGCAACCATACATTGATGTTTCACTCCCTCTCTTTTTCCCTCCCTTCCCCTCTGGCTAAAAATAAAATTAAAAAAAAAAAAAAGAGAGAGAGAATCTTCACTCCTAAAATCTCATAAACTTTTTGAGAAACAACATATCAAATAGCTACTTGTAAGAAATACATTCCCAAGTGTTCTTTTTTTCCAAATTCATGGCAATAAGACAATCATATCTATTCCTACCCCAGTGCTCCACTGTAATCACTGTGGCTTTACAAACTCTGACATACAACAGAAGTGCTCCACAGGACTGCTGAGGCAGGAAGGCTGTTCACATAAAAACTGTGTGGCCTGTGAAGGAGAACCATCCCCTTAGTTGATCATAGTGAGTCGTAACTAGCCCTGAGCACTCCTTTTCTGTTCACCCCCATTACTCTGCCAGATTGTCCTAGAAGGCCAGTAAGAACCATATACTTGACTAATTTTTTCTAGAAAGCAACATAAACTTTTTTACTTTATATGTTTCCAAAGTTTATTTAAATGAAACTTGTAATACTTAAAAATATTACTACTTTACCAAGTTCATTTACATATTCAATGCAATCTCTACCAAAATCTGAACTAACTTTTGTACAGAAATGGGCAAGCTAACCTTAAAAATCATATGAAAATGCAAGAGACCCAAGAGAGCCAAACAAATATTAAAAAAGTGTGTTGGAAGACTCACACTTCCTGATTGGAAAACCTACTATAAACCTATAGAAATCAAGATAGTGGAGTACTGGCCATATAAATATATATGGCATAAGGAAATATAGATATATTTTAGAATTTAGAGTCTATATCTATGGTTAACTGATTTCAGATAAGGATGCCAAAACTATTTAACTGGAAAAGAATATTTTTTTCAATAAATGATGCTGGGACAACTAGATATCCACATGCAAAAGAATGAACAAGGATCCCTATCTTATAAAATTAACTCAAATGATGAAAGACCTAAATGTAAGAGTTAAAACTATAAAACTCTTACCAAAAAAAGAAACAGGTGTAAATCTTTGTGATCTTGGGTTAGGCAATAGTTTCTTGGACATGACATCTAAAGCATAAGCAACAAAAGAAAAAATTTACAATTGGAATTCAAAATTAAAAATATTCGTACAGCAAAGGTCACTATCAAGGTGACGACACAACCCAAAGTATGGGCAAAAATATTTGAAAATCATTTCTCTCTTAAGGGTCTAGTGTCCAGAATATATAAAGAACTCTTAAAATTCAACAGTAAAATGACAAATGACCTAATTGAAAGATGGGCAAAAGATCTGAATACATTTCTTCAAATATATGAAACTGGCCAATAAGCAAATGAAAAAGTGCTCAACGCAATTAGTAATTAAGGAAATACAAATCAAAACCACCATAAGACACCATCTCATACAACACTAGAATGGCTACAATAAAAACAAACAAACAAAAAAGAGAAGACAAGTGTGGGCAAGAATGTGGAGAAACTGGAACCTTCATACAGTGCTGGCAGAAATGCAAAACGGTGTTGCAAACTGCAAAAAAGCAGTTTGGCAGTTCCTCAAAATGTTAAACAGCAAACTGCCATATGATCGAGCAATTCTATTCTTAAGAAGCCAGACACATTAAGTCATATGTATTATATGATCCCACTGACAAGAAAAACCCAGAATAGGCAAATCCACAGAAACAGAAAGTAGATTTGTGGAATGGGGGGTAACTGTTAATGGATTTCCTTTTTGGGGTGATGACAAGATTCTGAAGTTGGATAATGGTGATGGTCACACAGCTCTGAATATACTAAACGCCTCTGGTACGTGAGTTTTATCTCCATAAAGCTGTTATTTTTAAAAAGTTATTTCATCTTTCACTGCCATTTTCCTTATGTAACTTATTTAAGAGCAAAAGACACATGATTCCTTTTGTAACTAAAAACAAGTACATAAAAATGTTTCCCAGGGATACCTTTAATGTCACACTTAATATCCTTTTTATATTCCAACTAGAAATCTGTATTTAAATGCTGCTGTCCAGAACCTGTCCCTTAAAGATCATCTTTCAACTTACAGATGAGGGGGAAAAAATCCCAGGATACTCTATGTCTTATGTAGACCACACAGAGTATCAAACTTGGGTATCTTGAGTTTCAGAACTCCAAATACATATATAAATGTTGTGTTCTGAACTACCCAGACTGGAGACAGATTAAGCTAATTTAAAGTTACAAATCCTTAAACAAGAGGCCTAACCTAATGAATATTTATTTCTTGCTCACATAAAGTTCAATGTGGGTCTGGCAGCCCTTCTTCAACTTGTAGGAATATCATTGGAACTTGTGTTTTCCAGAATCACCTCAGCATAAGAAAGGAAAATGATACCCATTTTTTACTGTTTTCCACTGGAGTGACACATATCATTTCTCCTCAAAACCCTTTAGCCAGAATTAGTCACTCAGTGTCAATGTTATCCCTACATTTATCCCTACATTCCAACTACAAGAGAGTCTGGGAAATGTAGGGAGACATGGGATAATGAGAAAGCATTATAGTTGGTTACAGCTGTCCATTCAGCTTAGCGGTGTATTGCAAAGTTCTGACCAGATGGCGAAAGCACTTCTGATTCCACCTTGAAAAGGCAGTATTATAATGTGGAGTCCCCACAGTTGTTTTCCAGGGGCCACATGAGTCTTACACATGCTGCTGAAGGACTTTTTTTTCTTTTTCTTTTTTTTTTATTGTATGTATTTACAGAGAGTGAGGGGGTAAAGATTGGGGGAGGGAAGGTCACAGATTCCTTTGAAAAGTTGATGAAGAATACTTCTTATTCAAACACATATCCAAAACATCAAAGTTTCCATTTATTTTTGGCATTGCAGCCCCAGGTGAAGAACCACCTGCCCTCTACTATATCTGGGCTTCTTTTCCCCTACATAGAGATCAGGCAATAGGTGACTTGGTCAAAACTGAGTCTCGCTTTCTGCATCTAATGTTGGTCCAGCAGGCAACCAAGCAGCAGAGGCCTAAGGCTCAGGTTAATGAATTAAAGGGAACAAAGAGAAATATACCTGAGACCCTTTGCACCCATACTACCCACTTCCTATGCTGATATTTTCTCAAGGTGTGGTCCTTAGGCCATGAGCATCAGAACTGAATTGTCCAGGATAAAGGTGCACCTGCATGGGGATAAGTCTATTTTTAAGTCATATCAGTATACAGGGGTGGTTGTAATGGCCACTAAACACGTTACTAAGAATGAAAACTGCCCTGGCTGATGTGGCTCAAGTGGACTGAGTGCAGGGCCTGCAAACCAAAAGATCTCCAGTCCAATTCTTGATCAGAGCACATGCCTGGGTTGCGCACCAGGTCCCCAGCTGGAGGGCATAAGAGAGGCAACCGATTTATAAATGTATCTGTCACACATTGATCTATGTTTCTCTCCCTCCCTTCCCCCCTCTCTAAAAATAATAAAATCTTTTTTTAAAAGAAAAAAAAAGAAAACTTTTTAAACAAGTTTTTCCACAAGATGTCATATTAACATTGACCTTATTAAGATTAGGATGAAAAGAAAGAAGAAGCTAATGAAAACCGATCAGGGCTTCCTTCACTGATATTAGAATCAGAATAGTACTCTTAATGGAATGACTATTAAAACACAGATTCCTGGGTATAATCCAAATCTAAAGAATCAATCTTTAGGGGTAGAAGCAGAGAATAATGCATTTTTTTCAAAAGCTTCCCAGGTGATTCTGATGCATGCTATAATTTGAGAACCAAAATGCTCAGTTGAAAACCTGTTGAAAGCGATAAAGACTGAGGGCACCTGAGCATGGACACCTGCAGATGATAACTATATGAACACCACTTAACCCAACTCAAGTATTTCACCAATATTCTTATTCATTCAAGAACCCAGAAAGGAACATGTTACCCCCATGTGATAAATGACTATTTCTGAGAACCAAGGGGCTCGCGAGACAATTCAATGAAAACTTCCATTTGTATCATAACTGCTTCTAACAAGACCGTTTAGGTCCCATAGACAAACCTGGGATTCTCCTTCAGGCAGAGAAAACAAACTCTTTAAGATGAAAATTGGTTTTATTTTTAACAGATATGGCGTTCCTATGTTGATCTTTGCTGTAATCAAAACGAGACAGTGTTGAGTCCTGATGGGCTTGGCTCAGAGCACTGGGCATCGACCCTGCAAAGTGAAAGGTCACCCACTCGATTTCCAGTCAGGGCACATGCCTGGGTTGCAGGCCAGGTCCTGGCTGGGGGCGTGCAAGAGGCAACCAATCAATGTTTTTCTCCCTCTCTTCCTCCCTTCCCCAGTCTCCCTGAAAAAAAATAAAATCTTAAAAAACAAAACAAAACTGGACAGGGTTGATTTCAAGGAAATACTATGGAACTATCAATAAAACAACATTCAAGTTCTTTCATTTTCAAATTGGATTTTGCCAAGAAACAATATGCAGAGGAGATGAAATCCACCTAAGGAGTCTTCATAATGGTGGGCATAATATTCCCTGACAAAATACTGTTGAAAACTGAGGTTCATCATATTATTTTCTCTACTGTTGCATTTGACTGAACATTTCTGTAATAAAAAGTCTAAAAAGCACACAAACATGTATCTGAACACCTAGATATATCACTTTTTTTAAAAGTAAAATTCTTCTCAATGCTTGTCTTAACTGTATTTTTAATGCTTCCTCACCCCATATTTATCTGCCTGAAGGGCTAAAACATGTTAGTAAATTTTACTGCTGCGTAAGGTTCTCAAACACAGAGCAGAAAAGGACACTTTAGTAGATGTCATATCTTTTCAAGCCCACAAAAATTTGCTGAAGTTCTCAGTAGATTACAATTGAATTCAGACCTGGTTCCATCATTTAAAACACTCCTTTCTGCAATCTAAGTTATCAGCAATTTCTATTTCAAACAATAACAAAGAACACACTTGAAACTACATAAAATTTAAGAGGGTTCTTATACCTATTAACTGGTAAGACAGAAAAAGCTGTCATCCTGAGAAAATCTGAAGAGTGCTTTAGAGAGTAGAGTGGATAAAAGGTGACCTTGGGGTGGACTAACTGGGTGAGATCCTGGCTCTGCCACTTACCAGCTATGTGACCTTGGGCAAGTTCTTTAACCTCTCTGTGCCTCAGTTTCATCGTCTGTAAAATAGATATAATAACAGTAACTACTGTTATTGAGTTAAATAAATTTATACATACAAAGCACTTAGAATCATGTCTGGTACATATTAAGCACCATATGTTTGATCTTATTATTATCATCATTCCCACACAAATAAAGGCTTGTTACCTCTGCTTTTCTGGAAAAAAGTTACTGACAAACAAGAAAGGTCTTGTAAAGTCACACAATCCCTGAACTGAGTAGAAATCTATTGTATCCTAGGGTGGGTGGCATCATGTTTCAGTGAGGTGATAGCTGTAATCTGTGATCATAGAGAACAAATTTTAAATCCATTTCTTATTAAACAAACAAAATGGAGTGAAAAGCAGTCCTGTTGACAGCAATAATATGGCACAAAGTAGCTTCATTTCAAGATGACTAGTTAAATAAATAGGCACATGTACTTACCTCCCTATCCTCCCCAAACCCCAATGACATAGCAAAGACATCTGCAAAGCGAATCATAGTATAACAGTAATGAAAAGGACTAAGAGATATAGTCTGTTTTAATGCTGGCCACTTTCTAGAAGATGGAGAGAAAGCAGTTAATTGTATGACAAGACAGACCAGAGCAGAGCTAGATACTTCCCAGAGAACATGCAGAGTCAAAAGTGGGCAGAAAGGCAAAGCCCCTTTTCCTGGAGGAGCTGGATAAATGCCCAGCTTTGAATGAACAGATACAGAAATCAGGAGTGGGAAACAGGTTCATCTACCTCATCTCCTCAATATTTCTCATTCCAGTGAATGAATCAGCTAACTCCTATTAAGTAAGGCAAGAGGACTGTTGGAAGAACAGGAACCTCTTGTCAATTACCTACATAATCAGCTCACTTTTTCATTGACAAGGATCACCAGATAGTGAAAGAAAACCAAGAGGACCAAAAGGACAATTAAGATCAAAAGCAGATCATTATTTATTTTGTTAGCTGACTTGGTGTCTACGTACATTTTTAAGTACCAACTGAAGGTAATTATAGAAGGTATTTATTGAATCCAGCGATTGCATTTTGAAATCACTGTAATTATATATTTTTTGAAGTACTCAGTGTATATTATAAAAAAATAAAAATTTTTAAATTAAAAAAAGCAGATCAGATGCCAGAAGAAATACATTTTAGGTCCCAGAAAAACTTCTGAAAAGAAATTCTGATATCCACAGAGAGACTTGAGAAAGCAGCAAAATCATAAAGGAAGGAAAGAATTCTTGGAAATAAGAAATGTGATTGCCACGATGAAAAACAAGGAAAGAAATGAAATGGTAGTAGAGTAGGGCATAGGGAGTATACACACACACATTTGCTAATATTTAAAAACATTAAGCAATAGAAGAATAAACCAAAAACCAATAAAAATGTTTACCTATGACGTATGGAAAGGAACAAAAGCAGGGAAGAAAGCCATACTTCTCTCAATCTACCTTGCTTTATAGTTTTATTTTTAGAACCATGTAAATATTGTATATAACTTTTAAAAAGTAAATAAAAAAAGAAAACAATTCTTAAAAATAAAAAAAAACAGACAAATGAACTCAAACTATCAAAAAGTGGCATAACCACACAAAGAAGATTTATTTCAAGTTAAACAGTGTTTTGTCTGTACCTCTCTGGTGTTATTGTCAACAAAGGAGAAGAGACATGAATATAAAAATCAAAGTAATAAAAATCCTTTAATCCTTTATTTGAATTTGAAGTATCAGTCCAAAATCATGATTTATCTTTTTCTTTCCAAAAAAAAGACATACTTACTTTACAGAAAAGACCTAGAATTCAAATCCCATTGCAACAAATGCTCCTTATACAATTTCCCACCATTAAGAATCAGAGTTCCTTCCAGACATGGCTGATTCTAGGTATGGGGAAACAAAAAGATAAAACCAGGATTTCTTTCTTTCTTTCTTTTTTTTTTTTTTTGTTTGCAATCCTCACCCGAGGACATGTTTATTGATTTGGGAGAAGGAGAAACAAACACTGGCGTGAGAAACATCGAATAGATGCTTTCCGTTCACATCACAACTGGGCATTGAACCTGCAACCTAGGTATGTGCACTGAGAATCAAACTCACAACCTTTTGGTGTACAAGACAATACTCCAACCAACTGAGCCAGCTGGCCAGAGCAATCCAGGAATTTTTATCAGGCCAGAAGCAGGGAACCTATCTACTACTACCTGGCTCGTGTCAAAAAGACCCAGGGTCAACCTGAAGAAAAAGCTCTATTAATGGCCAATAATGGGACAATCTAAGCATCAAAATGAGTAACTCTTCTGGAGAAAAATTCATTAAATATATAAAAATTAATGAGTTTGGACTTGGCAACGGTTTCTTGGATAAGACACCAAAAACACAGGCAACAAAAAAATAGGCTAATCAGACTTCATCAAAATTAAAATTTTTGTATATCAAAGGACATTATCAATAGACTGAAAAGTCAACCCATAAAATGGGGAAAAAATACTTGTAAATCATATACCTGAAAAGAAATTAATATCCAGAATATATAAAGAACTTCTACAACTCATGATCGCAGCCCACTGGATCAAAAAACCAAACAGTCCAATTGTAACATGGATAAAGGACTTGAATAGAAATGTGTCCAAAGAACAAAGGGCCAATAAGCAAATGAAAAGTTGCTTAACATCACTAAACATTAGGGAAATGCAATGCAAAACCACAATGAGATACCACTTCATATCCGTAAGGATGGCTACTATAAAAAGGGGGAAAAACCCAGAAAATAACATGTTGGCAAGGATGTGAAGAAGCTGGAACTCTGTGTATTGCTGATGGGAATGTAAAATGGCACAGTCACTAAGGAAAACAGTATGACACAGTTCCTCAAAAAATTAAACATACAATTACCATATAATCCAACAATTCCAATCCTGGGTACATACACAAAAGAAAGTAAAGCAGGAACTCAAACAATTATTTGTACACCAAGGCCCACAGCAGAATTATTTATAGTAGTCAAAAGGTGGAAATAAGCCAAATGTCCATCAACGAATGAATAGATAAACAAGATGTAGTATAACCATACAATGGTCTATTATTTAGCTCAAAAGGGAAGGAAATTCTGATACATGCTTCGGTATGGATGAGCCTACATTTATCCATGTGGCAAGGTACCTCTCTACTTGTCAGGCCACTGGTTTGCAGAAACCTGACAATGGTTGCAGTATCTGTGGCCTCTGGATAGTTGCTGTGGGAAAGAAAGCAGAGATATGGTTTCTACTTCCAAAGTCATAGCTAAGTAACAGGATCATCAAACGCCCTATTTCTCAAGCTCAGGCTTTATCTGGATGGAGAGTGCTGGCTATTTCTCTGGGGAGCCTTCCTTTATCATTTATTTAGAAGTTTACAGCATCTTTTACCACACACACATACATACACACCAACACTTCTATTTCATTTCTCTAGTCAAATATGTTCATCTGTTCTTTTACAGTTTCAGATTTTGCAACTAAATTTACCTTGCCAGAACTGATGATCAAATACAGATCAACTCTTTGAAGATATACAAAATGGCTAACAAGCACATGAAAACATGCTCAAATCATTAGTTATCAGGGAAACACAAATTGAAACCACAAGATACCACTTCACAGCCAGCAGGGTGGCTATAATAAAAAAGACAGGCAATAACAAATGCTGGCAAGGACATGGAGAAATTAGAATTCTCATATACTGACCGTGGGGTATAAAATGGTGCAGATAGTTTGGAAAACATTCTGGCAGTACCTTAAAAGGGTATAACAAAGAATTACCATACAGTCAAGAAATTACACAACTGTGTGTATACCTAAGAGAAATAAAAAAACATGTCTACACAAAAACCTGTAATTAAAAGTTCAGAGCAACATTATTCAAAATAGCAAAACAGAGGAAACAACCCAAATGTCTATCAACAATAAGTGGATAAACAAAATGTAATAAAGGCATAAAATGGAATAACATTGCTCAGGCATAAAAACGAATAAAGTACTGATACATGCTATAACATAAATTGAGCACTGAAAACATTATGCTCAGTAAAGGAAGCCAGACATAAAAGGCCACATATTGTATGAGTCCAGAAATATCAATTATCCAGAAGAGGCAAATCCATTGAAACAGAAAGTAGATTAATGGTTGTGTAGGGCTGGGTTGGATGGAAAGAATGAGGAATGACTGCTAATGAATACTTTGTTTTTCAGAGTAACAAAATGTTCTGAAATTAATTGTAATGATAGTTGTTTAACTGCAAATATGCTAAAAACTGCTAAATTATACACTTTAAATGGGTGAATTATATGTGTATGAGTTATATTTCAATAAAGCTGTTTAAAGAAAAAAAAGATGAACGACTCCATAAACAAATCCCTCTTCGGAGGAAAAAAACACAGAAAATTTTTTCCTCTCTAGTCCACAACAACGTATATTTAAATATCTACCCCTGATAATGCAGAGACACTACAGGAAATTCTTTAGGAAGTTTGGTTAAGTTTTGTCTACAAAGTTCAAAGCCCAACCATTTCTGTGGGGGTCTTTTGGTCAGTAGAATGACACAAGCCATATTTAGAAATGTACTCAGGAAAAACGCTTTGAAGACTTTTACTCTCAACATTCATAAATTAAAAATACCTACTCAGGCAAGAGAGAAAATGCCTGAATAATTCCGTTCCTCTCTGTCTTCTGAGGACTATCCTTTTTTGGCTCCCCTTCTGCATTACCACATTAAAAAGAGTGATAGGAAAAGATGGTAGTTCTCCTAGCTCTCCTCCTGCCTCTCTGGCCATTCTTAGTTGTCTCTATGAGCCACACACTCCTCATCTCCCACTCCTGCCTCCTCTGATGGGCCTGAACTGCTGTGTGGTTCCTCTGAGTTCTATGCTGTGCCCTAAGATCAACTTATTCTCCCTGGGCAGGGTTGCCCGATCCATCTCTCTAACCCAGATCTTTCTCCTGTGCTCCAGATCCCAAATACCCAGATCCCTGCTGAACAGGTCTCCAAGTAAAATGTCCAAAACCCACTCTCCCTGGTCTTCCATGGTCCCTTCCCTGTGTCAACAAATGGCATCACCACTTATCTACCAGAATAAGCCACCTTTACATCCAGATAATCATTTAGTCATATCCTTCCTGCCTTCTTAATATCTCTCAGGTCTTTTCTATCTTCACGGCCAATCTTCACCTCTTACCTGAATTACAGCTTCTGAGTGATTTTCCAAATGCCTGGACTGCATTTGGACCCCTCTTGTTGCCGTGTGATTGCTCTAGAGTCAATTTAATCATGCCACTCTCCTGCTTAAAATCCGTATGGCTCTCCACTACTCTTCCCAACTTTCTTAAACCACCATCCTCAATCTCTGCCTAACACTGCCCGGTTCTCATTGTGCCATCTTCCCTCTCATACTCTACACCTTCAGTTCCCTCTGCCTGGAGAGCTCTCCTGGCTTACTCTCACTCCTTCTCCAAGTTTGTTAAACATCACCTCCTCTGGGAAGCCATCTGGACAAAGTCTGAGTTAGAAGCG